AGAGAGTAACATCGACAATGTTTCTAAGCGCTTTACAGAAATATCATTACCTTGCTCATCAGATTCCGGCTTACCCGCACAAGTATACACATTCTCCTCTCCCTGGGGAGCATTCCAACCGGGCGTCATTTTTGCAGACGCTTACAATGCTGAGTACACTACAATGACTTTTGTATCCTACCGGGTACCTTTCTAACACCTGGATGGAGAGTGACAAATGTGGGTCAATATCTGGTTTGTCACGTGAATGCCGTGCTGGGATTCGAACTGGCAATCCTTTGATTGAGATTCATTGGAATCAACCACTTTACCACGATACATCATCTTTTAAACGGATGAATTGAATGCCTTTACATACAAAGGTAAGTTTTGTTTATGTATATCTTGAGATAACTTGTGTAACTTTTCAATGAGGTACTGGAAATGGTTTAATGCTAGTCACAATTTAAAACAAATTGTCTTTGATACAAATTAATCATGGAATGATGAGGAATTAAAAGAAAACAAATCCTATTGAATATCGGCACTTACCTAGTTTAGGATATTGACAGATATCGAACTAAAAAGTACAGAAGAGTACAGAAGACAAACCTGTCCTATGTAGTCAATATTTAATGAAGTTCTTGAGTACCTTAATTAAGCTTAATTAATCAACGGGACCACTTGCTCCTTGTATATAGCTCTCCCAATGTGTTCAATAATTACTAAGCCGCAACACATGAATGTCACGGTATTGGACTAAACGCCTATTTGCCGGAAAACAAAGAAATTGTAAATTGTAAATCACTCCTTTTTCCCAAAATTGTCAATAAGGCGCATCACCTAGAAACCCATATTTTCAACATTTACAAGGAAGCTTTTAGCCTAACTTCCTTTCCGATATTTTAAAAGGATTTTTCAAGGAAATGTCACGGATTCTAGGTAAATGCCCCCCCCCCCCACTCCGGGGTCGGAATGACCGCATGCGTGTTACCAAAATGTCCAGTAAAGGGGTACTTTTCGTGCGACAAAGTCCGGCCCGAGAATTGTAAAAAAAAAAAAGGGGGTGTATTTGACTTTTCACCCGGAGATTTCTTTAAAAAGGGGTGTTTTTCTTTTTTCTCTCATCTCTTTGGACTCCTGAGAAATTATTCCGAATTTAGGGGGTACATTGAGCATTTTTCCGTATTTAGGGGGGTCTCCAAGGCAGAAAAAGCCCGCGAAAAGCCCGCGAAAAGCCCGCGATAGGGGGGTTCGGAAAGGATGGCAGCCCTCAAAAAGAGGGAACGAGCATACGCGTACCCTAAATAACACTGAGTTTGGGGGGGGGGGGGGGGGTAAATGCAAATGGACAACAATATATGGATATCGCTGACATTTTCACAAAATACCCTAAATTCTAGAAATAGACGCGAATGGCCTGAGAAAGAAGGCTAGTAGGCCTGGATTCCAGTGCAGTCCCACACATACATGGTATTGGTGATGATCGAACACCGGGGTTTCCCTGAAATAAAAATCACTTCAGATGGTACGTCAACCAGGTGATAACTAAAGCGAACATACACTTCTACTGAACACCGCCACAATGTATTTTGGCGAGTTAGGAACCATCGTCTTGCTCAGAGCTGATGCAGCTGTGCGCGTGTCCCATGTCACCTTATCTGAGGGTTGCAGCGGAAATGTTTGTCAAATTAGAGAGGGGCACTGCATCATGGCGGTCTAATTACACGCACGCCAAGTGTGATTGGAAATGCGTCCTCACGTATTCCGTGCGAGTCAAGAGCGCTCAAGATTAACAGAAAGCGTCTATCGCTGTAGTCCTTTCCACTTTGCTCGATGAATCAATAATTCTGTTGTACTTGTTGATTCAACATTTTCTCTGACCTCAGCAAATTCCAGACGTGGAGGAATCGTTTGATGTCTCTGCGTGTTGTGTCAGTGTAATGATGTACATTTACGATACGATGATCATGCCAAATAACAATATCTCAAGCTATTTGTCACTTTCTCCGTCTCAAGATAATTCATCACTACCCCCCTAACAAATCACACTGCTGATATATTGTATAAATCAAGACATTAGCATACACCTGTATATAAATGGCGTATACTTGGCATTAAGCTGAGCCACATTACGACTTATAACATCACAATACCTTCTTGCCGAAAAACAGAAGAGAACTGGATAAATGCATTATGCGGGTTCACTTGATCACTTTGTGTGTTATCGGTTTTGAATAGCTCACACATGTGATTTGGACAACTTCTTTAGCTTTAAAGTCTTTAAAAAAAAATTATGCACATGTGAATTTTCTGTATACCTAAGTAAGATCTTTTACCGGTCTATAGGTTCTATATCCCACATTAAGTAGTCTCTAAGCGGTTTCACATAGGTTAGAGTTTCACATCTGATAGCACCTTTCTCACTTAACTTTAATGTCACTTACACTTTCGCAAACATTGATATCTCTTTCTGTTTCCTGGAGCTGCTAATCGAAGTTACTAAACAAGATAAAATGTCACTATTTTCTTACTTGTAATAAAATGTATTTGTTTTAATATCATTTCAAGAAAGATGTTTTGATATTACGTCAATTGATATGGAATCTTAAAATGATCTAAAGATCATCTCGCATGAAGTTATAGATCAGTCTCAGCATTAACATTCATTGTAATATTTACTTTTGAATTTCCAAGTTTCCACACAATTTTGTTCACGTTTTCGGAAACACGAATTACCAGGAATTCCATTTGTAAGAGAAGCATTCTTCTGTGGTAATGAATTCTTGAAAGGATGGATGTATCAGGTTTGTCTCTGTCATGCGAGTGATACGAGTGAAGAAAGGAAGAAGAATGACATTCTCTAATCGAAGGAGCAGGTAGCATTGTTTGCATGGTTGCACGATTGAAGAGGACTGAGAAGAAAAAGAAAAAGTCGTTTAGGAGGAAATAAAAAGGTAACTGGAGTGGGATTTCATATGAAATACTGATTTGTTAGGAGTAAAAAAATACTTTATAATTATGATTTTTAATTGATAAAAATACAAAGTCTATTTCTCTTGATCACAGAGCTTTCATACATGTATGTTACAAGGAAATTTGAAAATGGTAATCGCGTTTCTCTACATCTAATTCAGATATTTGGACAATATCCTAGTTGCACACCATCAAATCGATGAGTTAATCATCCAAACATACAATATGATAATTCTCCTGTGTATCAATCGATATGCGTTTTGTCTATTCGTTTGTTTGTTTGTTTTGTTTTTTGTTTTTGTCGTAGTTTTCTGTTTTTGTTGTCGTAGTTTTTTTGTTTTGTTTGCAAATATTTTTTTGCCGTCAAATAGGGGAAGCGAATAATTCATGGAGCAGCTTAGTCTAGCTTATCATATAAGAAGTAGGTTGACGACAAGAGGCATGATAGGGGAGTTAAAGATGGAGTAGAGAAAAGAGACTGTGAGGTAAACGGATGCAAGAGAGGCAGCTTCAATTTTTAAGTAGAGACTATGGATTGCTCTTCTTGATGCTTGCCTGTGAGCAAAGTACTTGAGATGTTGCTATTTGTCACGTGGTCATACTCGGATGGCTGCTTCAAGTCTGAAGTACACATACATAAAAACAGCTCCCAGTAATGGCCTCCTCACAACACCGTGTCCATACCCATGTCTGTGCGTGTGAAAGGTTAATGAGAAGTTTTTCGATTACAAAAACATTTTGTTATTTATTTTTGATGTTTTAGCGTGCAATTATCAATCTGAGCTCATCGATGGTTATGAAGTGCTGACAATCCTGCGTGGGCAGATACAAGCTTTTCAATTGCCTCTAATCGCTTTGTTGTCAAATGAGTCTACTTGTTCCCGTGATATTTTGCAAGAAATTAAAGAAGAAAAGATAACTATGGTCTACGCAATTACAACAAGTACTAATAATGAACTGGAGAATGAATAAGATTATTATTGAGTATGTATATACAATCTATAAAATTAATCAATATTGGTGACCACATTTTTTGTAAGAGATATGAGAACATGCCGGAACTTTCCTTTCTAGTTCTAACTACATAAGGACAAATTTTACATCTTGCATCATTGTATCAAAAATATAATTACATATTGATATTAACAATGTCTTGTGCATAAAGTGTTTGTTGTCTGTAAATAATTTTTTTTCTATAAGGAAATGATTTTCGGAGCTCCGTTCTTCTTGTGTTTAAAAAGATTATTTTCTTGCATTATTTACAGCTTGAAGGCAGAGCAGAAAGAAACATTCGGCACTCTTGATTACCTGGGCAAGGACTGTTAAATAATTATTGTCTTAAATTGGTAATGAGTACTTTTCTTATGCTACAGTGATCTGGATAATTTATCCGAGATTAGATTTTCAGGCTATTTAAATCGATTTTAGCCTCGGAGTATGAATAATGGATTCCTGTTCTCGTCTCTGCTAGCTCTATTTATAGTCCGAGTTTGTATATCTCATCATGTTAATGATGAATCGACGTAATCTATTTAGAAAATGCCTGGCTAGCTTTTGGCCTGTCTATGGATTGTCGCCTCATATATCCTCAGAATAGCAGTTACCCCACTTTCAGCATTCAAAAACATCACCCAAGGATTATTACGGCCGGTATGGGACCGGTTGAAATGGTAAATAATGGTGTAATTCTCATCGGATTGCTTCTAAAAATAAATTCCGCATCCTTCTCGTTTCCGCTTTTCTCCTACAGCCGCATCTCGCCTCTCTCCGGTTTGGTGTCGGTGTGACGTAAGCAAAGAATCTTATATGCCGCCACTGACGTGTGTGTGTATTGGGCTGACGTGCATGCATTGCAACGTCGATTCATCCAAACAGGCTCTATGTTTCTCCGTCGGCTGCTCCCCGTCCCTGCTCCCGAACCTATCTATAATGTGGGACCGAATAGTGATGGGGAGGAGCAGCGTATCAAACGGTAATGATGCTTTGAGCATGCGCATCTTGCAGGTGGCATGGATGCTGCAATAGATGGGTAAATGAATAGATGCAATCCGTGGCGCCGCATTCATCCACTCTCCGTGTTCGTATACAGTCACACAGTGTGCTAAACATCGCTTATACTTCCGGGCGATAGAGAAACAGTTTGGATATAGTTTAGTGCCTTCTACAGTTTTATTTTTCTGAAAGCAAAAGAAGGATTATAAATTGTAAATTTGATCTACGTTCCTTTCGTCTATTTTTAGTAGCATTTTACAACCGTTTTCAACTTAAACGCAAAAACAGTCTTCAATATGCAGTCTTTACAAACAAGGATATTCGCTCTTTTGCTTATTTTTGTGTTCGCTCTTTCGGCTTTGGCTGCTCCACTCAAAGGTATGTTTATTTTCATTAAGTCAGTTTAATTTATCTCAATAAGCCTACGACTATCTAAATATTTAATAGGCCTAACAATTGTTTTCATTCCGGTTAAAGTTAAATACAATTATATCCATCCTTGTTAATTTTACCCCGTGATGTTTAGTAAAACCTGAACGATCTTAAAGTATTAATATTTCTCAAAGCTATTACAAATGAAATAATAAAACAATCCATTTGATTTTTCCCTCTCAAATTGATGACTAAAACTCACATCTCCCTAATCATAACATTACCATATGTTTGCTAATAATGTTTGCCATTTCTATCATATTTCCCCTTCATTTAATTAAACATGTATCTCATCTTGGTAGCTGCATTGTAACACTTTTCATTTGCTCCAAAGTACTGTTGTAATGTTCAGGTCTTTTTTTCATTCTCGCGAAGGTTTTTGTGTGTGTGTTTGTGTGTACAAAAATAACAAAATTGTATTGCTCAAGGCAATGTCTAAGGCAATGTTGTTGAAGATATGCTGTCCGTCTTTTATATGTGGTTTAGCTAATCAGCAAAAGAAAGAGATTCGTTGAATATAGGTTTTGGTCCTCTCCTAATGTATCGTTAAAAGTCTTTCTGGACAATATCATGTGTCGATTATTGATGTTTACTATAAAGAAATAAAAATGCCAGCAGTATGCCTGTGGTAACATTATTTTATGGTAATTCATTTCGACTTTCTGTTTGTAAGGGGGAGCTCTTTAGCTTACCCGTTTTGCACCTCCTTTAGAAGGGTTTATTATTGTGTCGCATCGGAGCGCTCAGAGTGAGCGGCTCTCGAGTTTTATATCTTCACAGTGTACATAAAGAGAGCGCTCAACCTGTTCTCATCATCCCCGCGAGGCCCGACACCAATTTCACTCTCGAAAATTGGGTTTATATCACATTAAGATTTCATGTCGCCTCAAGTCACCATGGCGTTAGGAACGGCTCAACGTGCTTCATCATTCGTCTCCCTTCTTCTCCTTCCCTCTATAGTCATCACCATTCTCTCCTCTGCGTTGCTATTCATTCGTTATTCACATCTGCACTGTTTAGGTTTTCCCAGACGCAAGATTCATCTCGAGTCCACAGGCTCCACCCTTTACCCTACCACCTCTCTCCGTCTCTCTCTCTCTCTCTCTCTCTCTCTCTCTCTCCCTTTTTCCTCTCTTTCTCCACCTCCCCCTCCCAGTCTGTGCACCTCCCCCTCTCTTTCCATTACTATTGTTTTATCACAATCTCCTACGCACACACAAACACACACGAACACAGAGGCCCCGTCTTATTTATCATGCACACACACGCACACACGCACACTGTCTCTCCCTCTCTTTCCTTTCTCTGTCTGCCCCCCCCCTCTCTCACACACACACACACACGCACACACACACACATACACACGCTCACAAGTTTCTCTCCCTCTGTTTCTCTTTCTCCTCCACCCTCGATTCTCTCTCTTTCTCTCAATCTCTCGTAATGTTATTACTCCTGTATCTTCATCCCTATATCTTAACCTTACTTTCTTTCTTTTGTTTTCTTATTTTTGTTCCACACACAGAGTTTTGCGTAAAACGTTCCTTTTCTCCTTTACATTTTACCGTCTTTTCTGTTCAAGAATGGCCCTTGGGGTAGATAAAGAATTATGGCATAAATTATGATGGGAATTGAGGCACAATACGAAGGAGAAAATGTCATGGGTTACTCTGAGATTTATTGTAGAGATATAGGTCATATGTCGCCCATAGCTTTGGAAAATTGCAAGCACTCTTACACCCCCGTGTTCCGTTTTGTATTTGCTTACATCTCTCTTTCATCCCGCCTCATCTTGTCCTCGTTTTCCTCGAATTTATAAAACAAAGCCGACACATAATTTATGTTGGCATTTATCATTTAGGTCGAAGTTGTATTTTGGGGGAAAATGAAGGGGGATAGCAAAATGGGTTTTGTGCTACAGCTGATTTTTTGTTTCCAACTCATGACCTGAAGGCTGAAGGTGCACGCAAAGTTATCAACGACGGGAAACAAATGAAAGGCGGCAAAAAGAGATATTAGATACCAGATATGACGGGGTAAACCGACGCAATGAAAAAAAAAACGCCAGCGTTTTTAACATTGTCGATGATTTGCTACTGCTCGCAACAATGATCCTACGCGAATTCACTTATATAGCTTTGTGTTATAAGATACAAAAGTGTTAAGCGCATTACACTTAACGTCGTCATAAAAATCCGTCGCGGTTTACCCCTTCATATCTGGACAAGGCTTTATACCTCAGTCAAACCGACTAACGACCGACTCCAAACCCAACGACTTTTGGCCATTGGGTGGTAATGTTATTGTCTAGATATAATGACTGCTATGAGAGGGAAAGTTGTTTTTATAGGCTCAAGGGGACGTTACATCCTGATATCACCCCGCGCTCGCACAAATAAACTGTTTACACGTAAACCAATGGGGATCTCACCATATGTATTTATGCGGGCATCTTTTAAAAGACTATTGACCGGTAAGGGGACATGCGGGCATCTTTTAAAAGACTATTGACCTGTAGGTGGGCATGGCTAAAATCAGGACTCCAATTTCGACCAATCAGATGGCTAGATTTCTAAAGATTATTGTGATCGGTCTGTTGGCCGGCTCGTTGGTGTGACTGAGGTATAAGAGAATGACAAGAACTTTGGAAGAGCCAAAGAAAGAGAAAGCTACAGATGAAGAGTGCGTTGGGAAGAAGAAGGAATAGAAAAGGAAAAGAGTAATATCTTGATGGATCATGTGGGTCGCTTTCCATTGGAAGCGCAGCTCCTATCTTTTATGTTTACTGATTTTTCCTCTTCTGTACTCAAGCAGCACTTTAGTGATTTAGAAATCTCCCATATCGACCGACTATGAAATCTTCATTTTATTTCTTAAGCTTAAATGCATGATCATAAATTACTACCAATGACGTAATAATGTAAGCAGAGTTTGATCAGATCACTGACTAATATTTTCGTGCTCAAATGGTTTAGTTTTCATGTTATAAATATTATAAGCTCACCACTTCCTGATCCTCACCATCACAGCTTTCTATAAATGCTAACGCAAGTGCCTCACGGTTTCCTCAACGTCGAATTCCCATTTTCATTCAATACTTCAAACTTTAGCGATGCAGTCCCGGTCCAGCCCCTTTCCGTTGTCATGGCAACCCTAAGATTTTTTAAAGTCAATTTACCAGGTACCTTGATTCTCCGTTATCTTAAATCGGTGATTCTGCATTTACTTGTAAATTCTGTTTACGGTCACGCATTTTCGATGTCGATTGTTTTCTCCAGAAGCAAGGAACCTAATTACTGGCTGAGATATGGATGATGGAGGGTCACTAGTGAACCAACGAAAGCTTCAGAGTGTGTCTTTGGGGAGTCCCATCTACTTTTCCTCTCAATCTCCCTGTTTGTATACCGAGGTCAACTTCCTCCCCTATCTATAGCTATATATTTTGTATTAATCAGTTCATTTTTTGTTCTATGGATAGTTGCCATGGTTACAACCAGCTAGAACCATGCTCCATCTTGGCAGACATTTTTGTACGCATATTCACCACCTTCTCTTTAGGTGCATTTTTAATGATTTTGATATGTTTTAATGATAATCATCGCTATTTTCTTCACATCGGGACCTGCAATGACATAACGATTTAGTTATAGGGAATTGAAGCTGTGTTTATCCTTGGTGATAAGGATGTTCTTTTTTTTTCTTTAATCCATGACACACATTCTACATTTTTCCTTATTGATGCTGTTTTCTCTCGAGATCTTGTTATTGTCACCATTGATGTTAATTAGTTCCTGTGAGATTACAGCTTTGTCAATGAAATCACCAACCAACACTAATAGGAATGCTCATATTTCTCATTGGAAACCTCGATTTCTCTGTGTTGATGGTATTGGCTATTATGTTTTTAAGACTCTGCTGATGCCGTTGTTGTTTTGTTTTCCAGGGGGTGCCTGGTTGTTGTTTAAAATGTGTTTACAGTGTGATGTTGTTAAAATATGGTATACTGGGCGGGGGCGGGAGGGGGTGGTTGGCTGACGTTAAGAAGGTGGCAAACAACTCGAAAAGTAAAATTCTTATCCTCGGGGCTTATGTCCATATGGATGACGGTGATAATTTTCGTGTGCTTGGGTTTGACCATGGTTTGACCATGGTTTGACCATCTATATTGGTCAATAGCTATGTCCTTCACCAGGAAATTTCCTACACTCACTTCTGTCTGTGCATAATTATAGCAAAGTGACCTACAGTTTAGAGGCATAAAGCTCACTCTTAGGTTTGTATAAATTCATTCCTGACCAAAAAGGCCTAGAAGACTGACCAGGTCAGTCTGATCTAGTTAGTCTCTCTTCCAGAATTAAAACAGAATTAGTAGTGTTAAGAATTGTGTGGGCTAGAGACTGATTTTCCAGGGACTTTTGTTCGATGTGCTACAAGTGTGTTGTAACGCAACAACCGGCAAAAGCAAGGAAGAATATAGGGATTGTACGAATTGGCTATTATTATGGAGATTAAATATAATTTGTACATCATAATCTTTATTAACAAATTTGTGCTTACTTTACATAACCTCATTATCGATGTAATATTTTAATGTGTGGCATAAACCTCATTACAATACAACATTCAATAAAGACAACAAAGGTATTATTGTCTTAGAAGTGTCATAGTCGAGTGGTTTAAGCACTTGACTTAAAATTCGAAGGTCGTGGTTCCATCCCCGACATGGCACTAATGTCCTTTGGCAAAACGTTAATCTACATCTGCCACTCTCCACCCGTGTGTTAAATGGGTACCCGGTAGGATGCGAAAGTTAATGTGGTTGGATGATCAAGTGACGCTTGTAAAATGGCGACTGGCCGGAATGCTTTCCAGGGAGTGGAGAATGTGCATACATAGTGTGTAGGTTAGCCTGAATCCGACGATCGGGGTAAATATTATGTACTGCGCCT